AAAAAAAAAACTGTAAAACAGCCTCAGGCAGGCCCTTCAGGGGGTATTCCAGAAAGAGGCATACCTATCATAGGAGATGACAACTCCAGCATATTACTGTTCCTAGAGACTTTCCAGTGGGACAAGATGTGGAGGTAAAAGACAATATTAATGTTATTGACTGCATGTAGGCCTAGGATAATATGAGTGTGTCTTACTTTTTAACAAAAACATTTAAAAATTTTAAAAAAGTAAAAATGTTTAAAAATAGAAAAGAGCTTATGGACAAGAATTTTCTTGTACAGTTGTACAGTATATCTATGTTTTAATCTAAGTGTTATTACAAAAGAGTCAAAAAGTTTTAAAAATTTACAAGTTTATGAAGTAAAGTTACAGTAAGCTAAGGTTAATTTATTTTGAAGAGAGAAAAATTTTTAAATAAATTTAGTACAGCCCAAGGATACAGGTTTATAAAGTCTACAGTAGTATACAGTCATGTCCTAGACCTTCACATTCACAGAGCACTCACTAACTCACTCAGAGCAACTTCCAGTCCTGCAAGCTCCACTCATGCATTCATGGTAAGTGTTCTATGAAGGTGTACCGTTTTTTTTTTTTTTTTTGACAGGGTTTGCTCTGTCACCCAGGCTGGAGTGCAGTGGTATCATCACAGCTCACTGCAGCCTCCACCTCTCCAGCTCAAGTAATCCTCCCACCTCAGCCTCCTGAGTATCTGGGACTAGCTGGGACTACAGCTACTCTCAGCTACTGTAGTCCTGGGAGGGTGCCCTGGCAGTCTGCATTTATGGGCACACAGGTGTGTGCCATCACACTAGCTAATTTTTTGTGTGTTTTTGTAGAAATACGGTCTCCCTATGTTGCCCAGGCTGGTCTCCAACTCCTGGGCTCAATCAATCTTCCCACTTCAGCCTCCCAAAGTATTGGGATTACAAGCATGAGCCACCCTGCCCGGCCCCATCTTCTTAATCTTTTATATCGTATTTTTACTGTACCTTGTCTATGTTTAGATACACAAATACCACATGTTCCAATTGCCTACAGTATTCAGTACAGTAACATGCTGTCCAGGTGTGTGGCCCGGGAGCAACAGGCTAGCTAGCCCATACAGCCTAGGTGTGGAATAGGGTAACATGCTGTCCAGGTGTGTAGCCCGGGAGCAACAGGCTAGCCCATATAGCCTAGGTGTGGAGCAGAGTAACATGCTGTCCAGGTGTGT